TCTGTGACCCTAAAACTTCCCTAAAAAAATTGCCTTTAAAAAAAAAAAACTTGGGGGCCGGCCCCATGGCCGAGTAGTTAAGTTCACGTGCTCCACTTCAGTGGCCCAGGGCTTCGCTGGTTCGAATCCTGGGCACGGACATGGCACTACTCATCAGGCCACGCTGAGGCAGCATCCCACATGCCACAACTAGGACCCACAACTAAAAATACACAACTATGTACCAGAGGGCTTTGGGGAGAAAAAGGAAAAATAAAATCTTTAAAAAAAAAAACAAACTTGTTTGGACCACATCTAACACCATCTGCAAAGCACAAGATGTACCATCCTGATGGTCCCTTGGTTCAACAATGAGGAATGAGAACAGTGGATAATGAGATTGTTAACCAGACTCAGATTTCTAGGTTCCTTCGTGCCACATTTGCTAGTACCTACTTCAATTAAAACTCCTCACAAGGTCCAGATCAATTATTGGTCTATCATACAATCCAGATCTTAACTGACAAATTTCTGGCCACGAAAAAGTGGCTATTGTGAGATAGCAAAATTTGACGAGCAGAAAGAATGACCTAAAAATGGTAAATGGGCATCCACTCCTAGGGGATCTGGTTAAGGGCTTTTCCAAACAGATTTCTTGGTCCAGTTACTTACCAACGGGTCTCAAGATGTAGATTTATGGGCTGTCCACCAATGATCTCTTGGCCAAGTGGCAGTTCATAGGACACCCAAAAGACAGCCCTACTATAGTCAGATGGTGACAACATCTGTGACAAACACAAGTGCTTTTCTCTCTCCACCTCCCAGTGAATCTTGAGATGAATCAGAGAATCTGCCTGGTTTTACCCAGACTTCTTGGCTTCAGAAATAAACAATTTTAGGAGTTTGGCCAGGAAGGGACCTGAGGATCTATGCTAAGGTCAGAGTTTAATAGAGACATGGGAGAGATTTGAGTTTGGGGGCCATTTGAAAACTGGTGGTATTTGCATATACTTGTAGCCTTAGACAAGAGAGTGGGATACAAATAAAATCACAAAATCTTTTTAGTAGGTTAATTTTTCTACTATGTGCTAAGCAATTCTGAAACAAATTTAGATGCATTATAGGATTGAGCAAATGCATAAATGTGTTGATGTTATTCAAAATCAAGATCCACACTATTAAAGAAAGGATATAACACATATGAAATGGAGGAAGGCAAGAACAAGCCCTGAACAGATGGATAGGGATGAAAGGTGTCTGTGAGAACTCATGATTTCTAAATATGTCTGTTTATGTGTATTTGCATGTATATGTGCACATGTATGTGTATGTATGTGTGTGAATACATATATATGTGTTTGGTGTATAAGTATATATGTATATATGAAGAGTCCAGCTCCAGGCCAAAATCTGATCATAGACAATTACAAAGGCTTTTCATGGGAGAAAGCTTCCTTCTCCACACCAGACTGGGTTGACAGCCAGTGCATTGCAGTCTCTGGAAGGAGTTGTTGCCAAGGATTGACGTTCCTCCAGCTTGTCCATGTTCTTACACATAACTGCATTCCTACCCTAGGCAACTACATTTAGAGGGCTACTTAGGAGAGTAAATGGCCTTCAAGTATCTCTTCCAAGACTATCTTATTAGGGGACATTAAAGACATATCTATCCATTCTAATTCAGTATTTGGCATTTTTCCCTCTTAGACTTCCAACCTCCTTTTCCAGGTCCCTAGTTCCATAAAAGAGAAGTGAAAGGATTCCCTGATATAATTATCCTTACTTGGGGCCATTCCATGGAAACAAATGAACATTAGTGAGCCAGTGTTCTTTCCTGTTTAAGCTTTTGTTTATATAATCACCGTTAGTGAATAAAGGCTTACTTGTTATATTGAATTTGGCTCATTGTATTATGTAACCACATAGACACCTGGGAACAAACTCTGTGACCAATTGGCACAGCAAGCAGGGTAGTCAATTAAGCAAAATGTCAGTCTGGAAAAAGCAAAAATCCTGAAGATTCCATGGAGGCACTTTTGGGAGACAATAGAGAAACCCACGGGGCCTTTTGGGGGCTGGCAGTGGATCATTTGCAGGAGTTTGAATGTACCATAGGGCACTTTACTAGCCATGCCAATGGGTCTTAGGGGGTGCCCCATGGACTATGCAGTTTGGTCTTGGAAAGTATTAGCAGATGGCTTATGTAAGCTTTTTAGTTCTGAGGGGTACCAATGGCCCTTCCCTTTGCTCTGTCTACATGGCCAAAATACCTAGTGGTCAAATTAGAAATTCAATAGATTGTCTCTGAGAAATCTAGGGAAGCAATTTCTGGGCTATTGCTTATGGTCCTCCAGTAGTGAGATTAAAAGTTATCAGAGAGCCATGAGTGCAGTTGTACTCAATGACTTGTTCACTCCAAGCAGGTTCCCGGCACCAATGGACACCCATGATGCAGTTAGCTATAGAGACTGGTTCTTTAATAAAGAAAAATGTAGAGCCCTTCAGGATTGCTTTTCTCAGCTGTCTGAAAAGACCTTAGAGACTTGGGTAGCTCACCTCCACAATAAGGAGATAGTCTTGTTAAATGAAGTGAGGGAGAGTGGCGTCTCGTGGGGTACATAACTATGGAATCCCTCCTTCAGAGTGCCCTGAAAGGGGCCACTTTGCCCAAGGAAGTGGAGGAAAGATGAATGAGAGGCAAACACCCAAGACCCTCTCCTTCCTCAACCAAGAATTATTCAGGCCCTGAAAGGTTTAGCTCACTTCTGATGAGTCCCCTATGGCTAAAATACATGTTTGGACCACTCTTACAGAGGCTATAGCAGCCCTGCAAACCACACTGGTAGTTCCTTGGTTCTACAATGAGAGAGTGAAAAGAATCAGTGATAAGATTGTTAACCAGACTCAGATCTCTAGGTTCATTCATGCCACTACTCTTGATTACTGAACTCAATAAAACTTCCCTGTAAGGTCACAAAAATTGGTCCATGACACAATTTGGATCATAACTAACAAATTCCTTGGCATGGAAAAAAACAACTACTGCCAAAATAACAAAGATAGAGCATCAGAGAGAGTGACATAAAAATGGTAATCAGTCACATATTCTCAGAAAACCCAGGCAATGGTCTTCCTGAAGCGATCTCTGAGTCTTGTTACTAAACAATGTTTTCTCCAGTAAGAAGATTGATAGGCTCTGTACCAAGGAGCTCATGACTAGGTAGTGTGCCATTGAGAGTGCCGTAGGAAGCCCCCTAGAGTCCACAGAGTGAAGTCCCTATAATAAAGTGTTATTCCCTTTACATGTCTCAGTAAATCTTGAGATGAATGGAAAACCCTGCCAATTTTTAAACAGAACTCTCAGCTTTTAAACATATAAGACTATGGATCAGGTCAAGGGTTCCATGTCCCCAGTAGGGAAAGAAGGCCCTATACCAACATCAGAGTCCAATGAAAACATGAGGAAGAATTGCATTTTGGGGCCTTTTGGATACTGGTACAAAGGCGTCTATGATCCACACAATCTATGACACCAGAATGGGGGGAAACCAGATAATCCTCTCTGGTTTGGGGTATGAGGCCACTATCAAGAGGATTACCCAGACGACTACTGCTGGGACCATCAGGCCAACACAAACTTCCATTGTTATGGTGCTCACTACTGAATGCATTATTGATATAAACGTACTGTCTATGTGAACCTTCACTTGAGGGGAATTGCTATAGTTAAGGTGATTTCAGTGGGACCTTTGGAAAACGGTATACCTACCCATCTATCAGCACCTAGTGCCTTTGTCTCCCCAAAACAACTGCCTGAGGGAGAAAAAAAAAACCTGACCTCAATGCTGTGTTTAAGAAAGTTCCCCAACTGGTATGTGCACAAGATTTTGGGTTTCCAGAGTCTCAATTAATTATAGGCAGTTCAGTTCAATGCTACAGTGCAGGCCTTGACACCAGCAGTACCTGACACTGTGACTGTCACAGAGGTTATTTCCCAAGATGGAGGAACTTTGTATGCAGCAACTGACATCACAAATGCCCTTTACAGCATCGCTGTCCACCAAGATGATTAGGCTCAGTTTATCCTTACATAGAATGGGTTGTAATGCATTATTACTATTCTTCCACAAGACTCTTTAAATTCCCTGACTACCTGACATAAAGATCATCAAGGTCATGACCTGGAAAAAGTCCCATTGCCAGAGGGGCCACTAGCCTTCCACTCTATTGACGACCATCATCCAAGTGGGCCCAGAGAAGGGTAACAGCAAACAAGGACTGAACATCCTGTTAACCCACATTAATATAGACAAGGCACAAGAACCTGAAACCCAAGTGAAATTCCAGAGCATCTATGGAAGGGGCACAATATCTCACTGGAGAGTAGACAATTGCTAAGCCTTTTGGCCCTCTCTGGACCAAGACATAGAAGGAGCCTCAGCAATTTGGTGGTACTATTTGTCTACTGGTGATCCACACTCCTCATGTAGGTATCTCACCCAAATATCAGGTTACCAGAAAGATCTCTGCATTTCAGTGGGACCTGACAAATGGATGCCCTAGAGGTCCTTTGACAGACCTCTTAGTCATCCTTGCCCTTGGTGCCTACAATCCACATTTTCCATTTGAGTTACAGGTCACAGCATCTCTCTGTTCACCAAATGTAGGCAATGACTGAAAGACACCGCAACTGACCAGAGGCAACTGCTGGACTTATGGACCCATAATTTCCTGGAGTGAGCTGATAAGCACACACCCTTTGAAGGTCAGTTGATGGCCTGTTTTTGAGTCAGACTGAGTACATGACCCATGACCATAAAATAATCTGAGTACCATAAATCCCAACCAAAATGTACCAATACTTTTATTTCTGTTCTCTAATTATCTTAGGGTATTAATACTTTAGGTCAAAGTGTAAAATTTCTATAAAACATATGCCTAAATACATATTCATAAACCAAACAAAAAGACCATCTGATGAGTTTTAAGATATTTTAGTTATCTATAATTATTATACTTACTAGTGAGTTCTTCTCTTCTGAGAGTTCTTTGTTTCTGTACTTGCAGTTGTGTTTTTGGCACCAAATTTTGATTCTCCTGCATAAGCTTTTCATCTGGTACTTTACCATCAGCTACATAAAGAGATACATTTAGTCCACTAAATGGAAAAACAGATTTATTGTGAAATCGCTGGATTTCAAGTTTATAATAATTGTGCAGCAGCATTTTCTCTCATTTATATAAAGTTTTAAGTAAATTGCCACAATGCTAGACTAACACAAAAAGTGTGAGATCAATTTTAATGGACGTGTGTTACAGTGGTCTCATTATTTCATAAATATTCCTAGGCATAAAAAATGTTTTATATTAGTCTCTAGTTTTCTTGGGTTGTTTACACTTTAAGTAAATAAATATTCATAGATCAAACAATGAAAATGTATATGTACAAGTTTTTCATTACGGTATTATTTGTAATTGCAAAATATTTAAAACTACCTAAATATACAAGCATGGAGAATTGGTTGAATAAGGTATATACTATAAACTATGGTAGAGTATAAACAGCTATACCTACTACTGCAAAAAGAGTGCAAAACATCTCTGTAACATAAATTGGATTTCTAGGAGTTAATGCTAAGTGAAAAAAACCTGAAATAGAGAATATCTAGCATCCTACTTTTTGTGAAAGAAAGGAGACATAAGAAAGAAATACATAAAGAGGAAAAAAAGAGAGAAAACGATTTTTTAAATGAAACATAGAAAACATAAACCAGAAAACATTTTAGTTGGAGACCTGTAAGAGGAAGGTGAGGAATGGGGAATGTAAGGGAAAGAATGACACTTTATAAATACTTTTTTGTATACTTATTACTTTTTGGAGAAGGTTCATGTTTATACATTCCAAAAATAAAATTAAAGACAAGAAAGAAGACTAAAACTGAAAGCAAACTTAATGAACCTACTGAAGGAAAAAATAAGCACGAACCCAAGTAACTCATCAACAGTATTTGACATACACCCTCAGTCTTAGGCAAGAGTGGGCTGCAAAAAACATTCACAGAAATTTTTAGTAGGTTCTTGTCCTAGTGGTATCAGCTAAGCAATTATGAAACAATTTTAGAAGTATTATGGGATTGAGCAAATGCATAAATATGTTGATGTTGTTCAAAGTCAAGACTCACACTGTGGAAGGACATACCCACATGAAATCAAGGAAAGTAAGAACAAGCCCTGAGGAGATGAACTGGAATCGAAGGTATCTGTAAGGACCATAATTTCTAAATATGTGTATATGCATATAGATAGATAGATAGATAGATAGATAGATAGATAGATAGATGTTCCAAGTAAAATCCTATATGTGATCATAGGCAATTACAAAAACTTTACCAGGCAGTCCTTATAGGGGAAAGCTTCCCAGACCACAGTGACTTGATGTACAGCCAGTGCACTGCAGGCATGAGAGGTAGTTGCAGTCAAGGACTCAGGCTGACCCTTAACCTCCACTTCTAGCTGACCATGATCTTCCATGCATCCGCATTCTAGCCCAGGCACCTCCTTTCAGAAGCCTCCTTATGAGGGAGGGAGGCTCAGCTGAGACACTGCACTATTCATACGCCTCTATCAGACCACCTTATCAGGAGGACCTGGAAGACATCTTTCTCGGTCTGACTCCGTGTAAAGCACTTATCCACTCCAAATTCTGCCCCCTCTATCTTCCCCTGGGCCCAGGGTCCTTAAGACAGCAGGAGCCTTTTGGTGGAGCAGTGAGACGTTGCCCCTACACTCTCAGGTCTATGATGAGACACCTGACGCTTGCCCAGTACTGTTCTGTGGAAAAAATGGAAATCTGGTGGGGCTTCAGCCCTTTTCTGTCTAGACTCTTGCTTATACTATCACAGTAAGTGAATAAATGCCTAATTTTACTTTTTTGGTTTCTTATCTTAATTGACCAACTTGACAACTGGCAGTACTCTTGCTGACAAATTGGCACAGCGAGCAAAGTGGTCAATGAAATATAATGCCCTTCTGGAAAAGCAAAATCCCTGAGATCCTACAAGGCACTTTTGGGAGGTGTTAATGAAGACTTGTGTCACTCTTGGACTGTGCAAGTAGATCACTGCAAGCATCTGAGGATCCAGTGGGGCACTTTGCCAGTCATGCCAATGAGTCTTAGAAAGTGCTGGTGGATGCCATGGAGCACTCTTCGAAAGTTCTAATAGATTGTTAAATAAGACTTCCAATTTGAGGGAAGATTAGTCCTTGACTTTAACCTCCAAACTCTGGTGGAGTTCCTTTTGTGGGTCAAATTAGAGATCTAACAGAGGAACTATCAGAAAGCTAGGGAAGAAATTCCCTAGCTAATGGTTATAGTTCACCAGAGATGAGACCAAAAGCCATCAGAGACCCTGCAAGCTGAGTCGTACTCTATGACCATTGTTAACCCTAAGTCATGACACTGATGGACAGCACGTATTGCTGCAAGTTTTTGAGACTCAGGTCTTTCATGAAAAAGAATGTAAAGGCCCTTGGAATCACTTTACCCAGTGACTTGAAGAGACTTTAGAGACTTGGGTAGTTCACCTGCATGACGAAGAAGGCAATCTTGCTAAACTTAGTGAATGAGAATGGCATCTTGTGAGGTGCATTGGTACAGATTCCCTATTTCAGAGTGTGCTGACAGTGGCCACTTTGCCTAAAGACCGGGAGGAAAATGGGAAGGAATACAAAAAGATACAAAAACTGAGACTATCTCCATCCTTGGTTGGCCCTTTTTGGGCTCCAATAGTTTTGGCCCACATGACATGAGTTTCCATACTGAAAAACATGGATGGCTACCTTTCCAGAGAGTATAGTATCCTGGCTAGTCCTCCCGGTGGCCTCTTGGGCACAACTGGGAGTGAGAACAATAGATGACAAGATTGTCGACACTCAAATTTTTAGGTTCACTTTTGTCAATCCTATTGGTTATCAAGCTCAATAAAACTTCTTCACAAGGTGTGTCAATCAGTTGTGACACAATCAGACCTTAATCAACAAATTTTTGGACATGCAAAAATTAGCTGCTGTCCAGACAGAAAAGGAGGGATGTAAAAATGATAATAATGCACCTTCTACTGGATTATTCGGGCAATGGCCTGACTTAAGATCTATGGCTCTGACGACTATACAATGGGATCTCAAAGGAGTAGCTTGATGGAATCTCCACCAAGGTATTCATGGTTAGACTATGGTCCATGGAGGACACAACATGAAGCCCCACTAGGGTTCACATGGTTGTGACCAGTATGGATAATACAAGTGCTATTTCCTCTCCCTCAACCAATGAATCTTGAGACAAATCAGAGAACCCCATATACATTTACTCCCATCTCAGCTTTCGAAAATAAACAAGCTGGGCCTTTTGGATATTGATGTACTGGTAACTGTGATCCCCACAAGCCCCGGCACCAGGATGAGGGGGAAACAGATAACATGCTCAGGTTTGGGGGCACCACCATCAATAGAAACCTTTTCCAGGCCAGACTACAGAAGATTCTATTGTTATTGCCTCTACTACTGAATGTGTTATTGGTATAGATGTATTAACTATGTGACCCACCACTCACATTCACTTCCAAGTTCTGACGGGATTTGCTGCAGTTAGGGTATTTTAAAGGGTCATGTGGAAGATCTTGAGCCACCTAACTACCAGATCCTAGTACCAATATCTACCCAAAACAATACTGACTGCCTTGGTATAAAAAAGAAATAACTATCCTTATTGCTGAGTTTAAGGAAGCCAACTCTGTAGACTATTTCTCCATTCAATAGCCCCACCTGGCCTGTGCACAAAACTTTGAGTGCCTAGGGACTAAGTTGATTAAGACTGCACAAAGTGTTAGTGCCAACTTGGCACTGACATTATGACTGTCATAGAAGCTATTGTCCAAGATGAAGGAAATTGGTGTACAGCAACCAACAACTTGAACTCTCTTCAGCATCTCTCTTCATGCAAATGACCAGGACCAATTTACTCTTATGTAGAATTGGTTGAAAAATGCCACTAATGTCCTTTCACAAGGCTCCCTAAATTCCCCATCTGTCTTTCATCAATGGGTAAGGCAAGACCTGGGAAAAGTCCAGCTCACAGAGCGAATATTAGCTTTCTACTATTTTGATGACATTTTTTGTTGGGCGCAGACAAGTGCACCATCCAACAAGGATTGGACATCCTGTTGGTCCATATGAGGCAACATGGTTGTGCCATTAATAAAGACAAGGTACAAGGACCTATTATCCAAGTGAAATTCCAGGGTGTCATCTAAAAGGGACGTAACATCATAGTCCAGAGGAGATATCTGCAAATCTTTTGGCCCTCTCTTCCTCAAGTTATAAAACAGTGGTGGGACTCCTATTACCAACATATTCACATTCTACCCACAGGTATTTGATGGCACATATCTAAGGAGTTAGCATAAAGGCTATTACCGTTGAGTGGAGACCCATTCAACAAGATGCTCTGGAGGCCACCCAAGCTGCCTTCTATACCCCTGTGATCCTCAATTGCTTTTTGAGTTACTGATCTCATCAGTTACCCCTCTGATCTCAAACCGAGTATCTCTGTTCAGCCATTGGAGCCTATTGCAAAAAGACACTGAAATAGGTAAGAGGCACCCATTGATTTTTGGACCAGTAATCTCCTGGGGTTGGCTAAAAGGTTCACACCCTTTGTAAGCCAATTATTGGCCTGTTATTGCCCTTGGTGGACAGTGATCACATTACCCATAGGTATGAAATAATCATATGGTCAGAAATTCCAACCAACATGTATCAATAATTTTGCTCTTGCTCTCTAGTTATCTTAGAAGATTCACACTTTAAATCAACAAGGAAAATTTCTACAAAATATATGCTGAGATACATCTTCATGAACCAAAGAAAAGGGATTTCTGATGAGTTTAATTTAAAATAATATGACCTTATTTATAATTATTATACTTACTATTGAATCTTTCCTCTGTGGGAGTTCCTTGTTTCTTTATTTGCATTTGGGTTTTTGAAACTGAATCTTGATGTGCAAGCATAAGCTTTTCATCTGGTACTTCATCATGGGCTACATAAAGAAATGAATTTAGTCTACTAAACAGAATAAAATAGATCTATCGTGTATTACCTAGACTTCAAATTTATGCAAGTGTACAGCAAAATTTTCTCTCATGTTGACAAAGTTAAAAATAAATTACCATAATGCTAGATCTGATACAAAAATGGTAAGAAAAGTTTTAATGAGTGTTTTTGAAGCTCTCTCATTATTTAATAAACAGTTCTAGGAATTAAATATATTTGTAATAGTCTCTAGTTTCCTTGGGTTATTTATATTTTAGGTTAATATATAAGCATAAATCAAACAATGAAAATACATATATACAGGGTTACTTATTATAGCATAATTTTTAATTGCATAATATTCAAAACCACCTAAATGTTCAAGCATATGTTATTGTTTGAATAACCTAAGATACATACTATAAACTATGGTATGATATAAATAATAATATATAATGTGATACAAACAGTTGTACATACAGCTGTAAAATGAATGGAAAAGTTCTCCAGAAACTGACTTGAAATAATTTCCAGTAGAAAATGTTAAGCAAAAAATAAAAGTGAAAAAGTAGAGATCTAGTATGTTACCTTTGAGGTAAGAAAGAAAGGGAAATAAGGAGAAAAATAGAGAGACACTTGCCTTTACAAAATAAAACAGGAATAATAAACCAGAAAACAATGCAGATGGTTACTTACACGGAAGGGGTAAACTGGGGAATGTAGGGGAAAGGATTCATGAAAAGACCATCTCTCTTTCTCTCTCTCTCTCATATTTTTATTTTTAGAAACCGGTTAATAATACTCTACATATTCCAAAAAACAAATTATATTAACAAGGATAAGAAGAGGGCACTAACAATGAAAGCAACTTAAGAAATCAACCAACCAGGGAAAAAAGGGGGGGGGGGAACTAATCCAAGTAACTCATGAATACAGTATTATTTCCTCAGTCTTCAGTAAGAAAAATAAAATCATGATTTTTTTTTGGTTGGAAGATTGGCCCTGAGCTAACATCCATGGCCAAACTTCCTCTTTTGGCTGAGGAAGATTAGCCCTGAACTAACATCTGTGCCCATCTTCCTTTATTTTGTACATGGGATGCTGCCACAGCATGGCTTGAGGAGTCGTGTGTAGGTCCATGCCCAGGATCTGAACCTGCAAACTCTGGGCTGCCGAAGCGGAGAACACGAACTTAACCACTACACCACCAGGCTGACCCCATGAAATCTTTTACTTGGTTTGTTTTTCTAGTGGTATGAGATAATAAATTCTAAAACAATTTTAGAGTCCTACAGAATTGATAAAATTAGCAAATATGTTGATGTTGTGCAAAGTCAGGATTCACACTATGAATGAAAGGATGTATACATATGAAGTGCGGGAAGGCAAGAACAAGCCCTGAGAGGATTGACTGGAATTGAAAGGATCTGTAAGAATGTATGATTTCTAAACATATCTATGTGTATATGCATGCATATATGCACATGTATGTAAGTATATGTGTGTATGAATATGTATATATGTGTATGTGTGCATATATATATATATATATATATATATTTGTGTACATTTTCTAGTCTGTCTGCTCAATGCACTTAGAAGAAAAGACACCCCAATACCACTACGTTTCAGATCTTGGTTTCCAATAACATTTCCCATTTAAAACAATCAGGCCTTCTAGGAAAATTGGCTGATTTCAGCTACAAAGCAGGAAATGTACAAGATTAGCTTGGGACATCTTGCCATACTAAATAGCAGACATTGTCATCTCAATGACTACTAGGGTCATGTCATAAGGACATAGTGATTATCTTCAATAAACTCCTACTTGCCAATGCTAGGACAATTTACAGCTAAAAAATAGAGAAGAGCGTGAGCTATAAAACCCTGGAAAAATAAGAATACATGATTTCGTACCACTAGTGAATGACGAATGAAAGAAAAGAAATGGGAGCGAAGGTAGAACTCTTGCTTTCAATAGAATGCCACATACCAATTGGATGAACGTAGAAATGGTACTAGAGTTGGAAAAGCATCATTTTGGAACCTTCAAAGTAGAGACTAGTTCAGGAAAGAATTATGAATACATCCTAAATCAAGAAAATTTTGATAGAGAACAAGTCATTTGCATGATCTTAAAGACTCTTCCTATAGATTGCTTATTAGTAGCTAAGGAAAAAATAATAAGATAGAGAAATCAGAAAACACTCTGACCAGGTGATCATTATTAAAGTCACAAATTAATGACAGATGTACACAGTGTAGTTCTGGAAGTGACACCCTAAGAACAACATCAGACAAATCCAAAATGAGGAAACTTCTCTAAAGAGACAGTAGACTTTAAAAATTTTACTGTCATAAAAGACAAAGAAAAGCTAGGGAATATTCTAGATTAAAGAAGCCTAAAAACATAACAACTACATGTAATACCTGAGACTAAACTGGATTCTGTATTGGAAAGGAAAAAAGGTTATAAAGGATAATATTGGGTTAAAAAACAAACATTGGATGAATGGTAGATTAGAAAAAAATATTGATCTTATCTACTGAAGTTGAAAACTGTATTGTGACTATGCAAAGAATAGGAAATATATGCTTTAGTATTAGGGCTATGATGTACTCAGCTTCCTCTGAAATAGTTCAGAAAAAATATACATATCTATGTTATGCATACATATATAACATACTATATAAGAGAGAGCAAAAGATAAAGACGAAAAAGCAAATGGGAAAAAAATTTAACAATAGATTAATCTAGATGAAGGGTATATAGGTGTTATTTGTACTTTTTTTCACTTTTCTGTAAATTTAAAATTATTTCTAAATAAAGTCTTGAAAAAGGCATTTTTTTTAAATGAAAAAAGAGATAAAATGGATGTGAGAGAAAGTAACAAATACTGAAACTAGGCAAATGAGATTCAACATGTGGATAATAAGAGTCTCCAATAAAGAAAACTAAAGCAAAGGTATAAAGCAAAGCTTGACGTTCAAGGACAAAAAGGACAGGGAAACTGTTATTAACATGAAAAAACTCAAAAATATAGTTCCCATGAGTCTGTCCTGAAAAAAATCTACCCTAGAATGAGCTTCATACAACCCAAATCTAGAGAGACAGCAAATAAGGACTGGTGATAAACATTAAATACATACTTGTAAAAGTAAGACTAAATGAAGGTTAAAAGAGAAAGAGTATAGTACGTAAGAGTTTTATGACATGTCAATACATATACAGCACAACTATTAAAAATTGTAGGAGAGAATGAAGAAGTCATATTCAAAAATATTTGACTATTCTCAATAATTATATGGAGTGAAAGTATTAATATTGTTATTCTGAGAGTGTTGTATATGTATTTTTTAATAAAGCAAATGAATAATTATGAAATTTTCTAATCCTATTATTCTCTGTACACTTAAAATGCAAGATTCTCAGTATGGAAGAAAGGAAATAAAGAACCAATAAAAAAGAAGTTAAAAAAATCTCTGTAGTACATTATTTGACTTGAAATTTTCTGTAAGAACTCATGAGTTGCCTTATTCTTAAAATGTGTGAATGTGTGTGTTTTCTATTTCCATCCAATGAAATGGCATATAAACAGTGACAAACCCTGTAGCAAAAAAAATAAAATACCATTTCCCACAAAAGAAATGAGAATTCTCAGAGAAACGGCTGATTCCATTTGGAAGCAAAATATGTACAAGATAAGCTTGGAATAGTTTGTCATACCAAATAGCAAGGAAGCTATCAAAGATGACTCAGGTCATGGCAAAGGTCTCAGGTACAAACTGAAGATCCCACCAGGCAAAGATGCCACAATTTGACCTTCCCAAAAGATAATAACTATAACTGATTCAAATCCATGTTTAAATGCATAAGTTCATGATGATATTTTTAAAATAATAATTGATCACTTTCAGAAAATTCATTATAATGAACACAGGTATATAAAGAAAAAGAGCCAAGTATTTACCCTGTTTATACCATATAATCAGTACCACTGAGTAACAAATTAGTAGATGACAGGAAGTGCCTCCTTATAATAGTATTCCAATTAATAAATTGAAAAACATAATAAAATTAGATTATCATCTTTTGGTAACTTCCAATAAATTAAGAGATATAGGTATTAAGTTTCAAGGGCTGCTAATGTCACAACAAGAGAGACAAGCAGACTCCTTAAGTCTCTCTATGAAAGGAACAACACAACCTATAATATTGACAAAGAAAGCAAACCTGAATCCAATCAAACCTCTGGATCCAGCTGCCAGACGGCAAAGGAACACAGGGAAAAACTGCACCATAATTATGCAATCAGGAAAATCCTGATTGTTAAAAATTCTATGGGGCAAATGCTCTGAGTTATGCAGTTCATAAATTATAAGGAAAATAGAGAGAGGAGAAACGATAAGAGACTTAAAAGATATATAAAATTTAAAATATGAGTCACACACTATAGTGTCTACAAAGGCACATTTGGGTGGTCAAACTATAAAGATGTGCAAAGAAGTGATTTAAGGTAAAAATCAGAAGAGCAGTAACTGTTGTGGAGACGGGAGGGCTATGATTAGACAGGGCGTGAAGGAGATTCTGGAATGACTGGTAAAGTTTTATTTCTTGATCTGGGTAATAGTTTGAAGGTTTTCCCCTTAAACACTTCACTAAATTTCACATTTATTTTGTGTGGTTTTCTCTATCTGCTTTATTTTCAGTTTTAAAAAGCTAAATTTCATAGAGGGAGGGAGTTGCATTGGATTCCATCAGGAACTTGTGAAAATGCTTGTCCTGGAACACTTTAAACTAATTCTCAAGTTGTACTGTCTCCGTTGATTATCAAAATAATTATTTGTTGTACATAATATTATTCCCTCATTTGTACATGAGAAAACTGAGGCACAGAGAAGGTAATTCGTTTAACCAGTCACACGATTAATCATTGGCTGAGCCTGAATTCATACCCAAGAAGTTTAGCTTCAGAGACTGAGCTCTAAATCACTATATTCACTTCC